AAATGTCATGTGATCAGCTATATTCTTCATTGTCACTGAAAAGATATGATGTTAGATAAAACTACAAAGAAAAGATACGGTTTTCAAGCTACTAGAAAAAGCTTTCGAAATATCTCACTAATGGTTAGAGAAAACGTCCATTGCTTGTAGCCCATTTTGTCTAGGTCAACACCAACACAAAAATGTGTTGCAGGTTCATGAAACTTTCCCAAGAAACATATTTCAAGTATTTACATTTTATAAGAGGAAACTTTTTAGAAAGTTGCAATCAGTCGAAAGAAAATCTACCTTTGAAATTGTTTAAATGCAGAAAGGAGGGGTCGCCTTACATAGTTTTCCTAAAACTTTACATCTCTCTTTTTCCCTAAACTTTCACCATAAAGAGCTTCTGAGAAAATCTGTTGGGGTGGAAAAAAAAAAAAAGGATATTGAGAACTGACAAACAATGCTCTCTTTATTTAAGTGACTTGTGTTGGGACTATGTTTACAACTTGTGAAACATATCTAGTTATTTAGAAGAGCCTGGTGCACCCCCACCCGTTGTCATGAGGCCCACCTGCCCTTGACATTGCTCGAGGTCACGGTGTCTAGACAGAGTGGCCTCTAGTCTGTATGACCTCAAGTCACCTTTATGTGACTTATTAAAAGGCACCCCTGCCATCTATTGGAAAAGTGTTGCAGTATGCTGATTTTGTTAGGAGGCTCTTCATTGCCTTATGACAGACACTTCTCATGATAAGTATACAACCTCAGACATGGCGCCATTGTGTAGTACATGACCTATACCATCATATGGGACATTTGCAAGTAGATAAAGAATAGAAATCACCATGGCAACACTTATATATAACATGAACATTAGAAACCATGTTCATTGCAGTAATGCCCAGTAAGTTCCTGTTCAGCAAGTTGGTGGTGCTGAAATGTGGAGGTAGGGTGTCGAGTGGGGAGGATTCTTTCACTGATAGCTTCCATTACTGAGAACAAGAGCCTGCCCATTGCTCTTTATATGTGTTTCAGTCAGTTAAAAAGCGCCTACAAATTCCAACTACTTAGCCAAATGGAAAAGATTCTCTGTTTAGAGAGAAAACACAAAGCTTGCTTCTTCCCCATCATTAAGCAGGCTGAGTACACTTAGCAGAACTTTTCCACTTAGGTATCCAAGTTAAGGCTATCAGTGACTTTTCACTTGAAATCTAAATATTATAGAAACATTTTGTAGGGAAAACTGTTCACAGGCCTGTTGAAAAAAAAAATCAAATAAATAGTTTGGGGGTTTCCATCTTGGAATTAGAATGTTTATTTAAGAAACTCTAATAAAGCCCTCTTTCAAACCCATGAAAATTATAGTCAGAACCAAGTGGTAGACTAAGGATTCAGGAAATAGCTATTGATTTGTGAGGGACAGAGGGAAAGAAAGGGCCAGGAAAGGAAGGAACTTGATGAGAAACTTTTTGTAATGGTCCTTATTTCCTTCAACTTTGAAAAACCATTTCATTGGCAGTAGAATTTAAAACACTCTCATTCTGCAACTACCTCTCCCAGGCAATAGGTAGTGCCCAGGGCATGGCTTAGGCTGGGTTTCTGTGAGCAAAGGCATGAACGTAGGTGGGGCTGACGCACTGGCTGCAAGACTTAAGGCAAAAAGGATTTTCAATGGGGGTGGGCAGGGCAATATGGGAAAGTCCAAAGCATCATGCCCAAGGGATTGGGCAGAAATCAGAAAAGAATCTGAAAACTGGCAAGAAGAGACCCTTATTGGTGAGGAAAAGTTGTGTTTCAAAGATTCCAGAAGGATGCCAGAAGTGGACTCTTTTATAGCGTGCCCACAAATGAGCCCTAAGCAGGGGGAAGCCCATGAAAGAAAACTCTAACCTGCCTTTTAATTTACTTTTCAAAACCTCCATGGTCAAGAAATCAGAAAATAGTGAGAAACACATTATATTAATGCATAGGGATGGGTTACAAAGGATAGTCGAAAGTTCTACGAAGAAACGCCAAGGGCATGTACAAAGTGTATTTTGTGACAAAGCTGGACGAGCACCTGGAAGTAAATGTGGAAGTGTAATAGTTCTGAAGTAGCTACATTGGAGATCAAAGGCTCTGAGTGATTTAGAAGGAAAAAGTAGCTTAGCCAAATATCACTGATCACGTTTAACCCTTTTTACCTTATGCATGTAATTATTCTATGTAAATATAATCCTAAATCAGTGACCCAAATAAGGTTGTCTAATAAATGTGCATGGTTAGAATTCCATACTTGCTTGTTCTCTGCATTTGCTGTTTCAGTGAAGTAATGGTGAGATATATAGGTATTAGGTGTCCTTACTATTACTTACACTTTTTGATTCGGTAATGATATAAACCCCTTGGATGTTTAGGGAGACCCGTAATTCCCAGTTGAGCGTTAGTTACTGTGTGGTTAATGTTGTGTGGCTTAGTATACCCACCAGCTGTGTGGTCAGGGAAGTAGAAAAGAAACTTCCCCTGGAAAGACAGTGCTTTTAAAATTTTCAGTGACCTTACCTATTAGTAGATGTGATTCATCAGCTTCTTCAGCTATTATACAACCAAGAAAATTAGTAATTTTACCCTTTGAGTATGAAGTGGAACTAGATGAAAAGTAAAGATAAAAAATCAGAAACCTCCTCTCCACGTGTCTACTAGAAGGGATATTAAAGATGAAGTCAGTGGCTCTCACCCTTGGCTGTACACGAGAATCACTTGGGACTTTTACAAATTCTAATACCCAGACCATACCCTGGACCAATCCAATCAGAATCTCTTAGGATGGGATCTAAGCAGCAGTGCTGTGTATGGGGGTCTGGAGAGAGTTGGGGGGGGTGGGGGTGGGTATGTGTATCCACAGATAGTTCCTTTTGGGAACACCTGGATTACATGAAATAAAGCAAGTGCCTGACATACATTTAGTGCCTAACGAGTGTATACACCACCTTTGAATTGTTTCCTGCTACCCCATCTCTCCCTTTTCCAAACTTGCACAAGAATAGTATTGTATCTGTCTTGGTCTTTCAAAGTGTATCACAGGTGACTTTGCCTCAGAGTTAGAGAATTCATTTTTGACTTCATGATGACAAAGGCAGAACTCTCATCTTTTCTTTTTTTCTTTTTCTTTCTTTTTTTAAGCAAGGCCTCGCTCTGTCTCCCAGACTGAAGGGCAGTGGTACAATCATAGCTCACTGCAGCCTTGAATTCCTGGACTCAAGCCATCCTCCCACCTCAGTGTCCAAAGTGCTGGGATTACAAGCTTGGGCCACTGCACCTAGCCCTTTTCTCACTTTTAATATACCATCTCATTATTTATTTTGTTACTTTATCTTCCAATATTCCTTAACTTCTTTCACCTATAAGTCCCAGAATCTGTCGGTTTAGGAAGAATCATTACTTCTGTGTCTCTAGGGATTTAATTTAGCCAAATCTTCTTGAGCACTTCAGATAAATCAGGGTGGAAATAAAGTTTAAGGAATAAAGGGAATTTTTAAAAATAGAATACAACTCATCCATTTCAATTCAATTCAAATGCCTTTCTCTTTTCCAAGCATTTTTAATAAGCTCACTTAAGAGTCTTGTTGAAAAATAAATAAATTACACTTGTTTTCATTAAGAGAAAATATCTTTTTCCATTTTTGCTGGTATTGTTGAAGGAAACAAAAAGGAGTCTAAAACTTGGCAAAGGAGGACATTATTAGTGACATATTGGTCACAGATGTGCTGGTAGAGCTACATTTTCTTCCTGCCATTAGGATTTTAAGTGCCCACAAATTACATATGAAAGTCCAGATAACTTTCTTACAAAAGGGAAAGATGAAAAAAATTATGATACTTGCAAAATCTTGATTTTAAAGATATTCTAAATAAGTTTTTATAAAAAAGAAAATTACATATGTCCATCTGCTAGTTTTTCTTTTAAAGGAAAAGTAGTGCTGGATGGTGCCAACATTTACTTCGTGTCATCAATTCCAAATGTTTTCAACAAGTGAAGATACCTGAGATACTCTTTGGCAATACTTGTGAATAATAATATTTCCTTTCCTTAACAATTCTTAAGAAAATCAAGATGGCAAAATTTAAGAGGTAGAAAGGAACTCTCTTTAGTAACTTTATGGCTCAAATCTGTAGGCCTGTAAAGCAGAGTATGAGGAGTTGCGCCAAATTTTGTTCCATTGCAGAAAGTCCTGAAAGGACTTTAGGGAGAGTATTGACAAGCCAACTCTGGAAACAGGGTTAGGATTCACCTGGGAGGAAACGGTCTTGGCATCAGGATGCCCATTAAGGTAGTTGTAATAGATGAATGTAATTCCAGATCTAAGGCTCTGACTAAAAGGATGTAATGGAAGGAAAAGGTATGTTGTAAATGAAAAAGGATCAAGAAACGGATTTGACAGGCATAAAATAATAATGGCAAGCTAAATATTTATTATAAGACTTCTTGAAAACTTTTTATTCACCTTGATGAGAAAACTTGATAAGGGAATAACTCCTAGAAGGATGACAGATGCCTCAATTTTCATCATGTTTAAGTTGGTAAGTGAACCAGTTTGAAATGTCATGTAAATTGAAAGTGATATGAAATTGAACAAAGGAATGAGTTCACTGCCTATGTAAGAAACTGAATCATGATACAGAAAAATATATGGCCTAGTTTCCTGATACGTAGGTAGAAAATTATTATCTATTTGTATTTTTAATTCAATAAGAATATGCATTCTAAGATGATTTAGCGATCTGATTATTACAATGACAGGTGGCTTTAAATCAGGAGCTTGTAATATATTTTTCAGTCTCAAAGTTATTTGATAGTACTGTCAAGGGAATGTCAGTGTTTGATTCTAATCCAGTGCTGTCTGGTATCTTGTGTGTTATTTGGTTTTATAAGTTCAAGACGTCATACTATACAGCTTTTTAAAAGCCTGTAGGGAAGACTTCAGGTTCTTTTCATTCTCAGCAGTATCTTGTTTTCTTGCTTCCCATTTGCCTAGGAAAGTGACAATACTGGAGGACCCTGATCAGAACATTCACCTGAAAAACTTGACTCTCCATCAGGCAACCACAGAGGAAGAAGCTCTGAATTTGCTTTTTTTAGGAGACACCAACCGAATGATTGCAGAGGTAATAAACTTCTCTCTGCAAGCTGTTTTTTCAACATTGTAGGATATAGTATCTGAAGCCAAGGTGGAAAAAAAAGGCTATAATAGACGTTTAGGGGCAACAATGACCTTAAAAATAATTTCGTCCAAACCTCACATGCAGATAAAGAAGCCCAGATCTAGAGAAGTGAGGAGACTTTCCCAAGGTCACCCAGCTAGCTAATGAGCAGGAACAGAAATCTAGACCCCTATATTCTCAGTCCACTGCTTTTTCTACTTCAGTGTATCTACCTTTTAGTTTTTATTTTTATATTTCTAAGTTTTATACAAATTGGTTTGTACATTAATGACAACTTATTACATGTTCTAGTTATAGGAAGTTTTGCGTATTTTCTAAAATTTAAAAATAGTCCATTTTCCTAACCTGAAATCATCCATATGTTAGCATGTATTTACATATCCATATATTTTCATTTAGTTAGTGGGTTAATATGTATAAAGTACATAGAACAATGGGAGCGCTCTATGCATTTGCAGCTATTGTTGGCATATCTGGGAACACCACCATAGTGTATATATCTCAGTGCAACATTTGGAACATACTTATATTAAAAATTATTGATTGTTAATCTGACATTCAAATTTAACTGAGTTCCTGTTTTACCTGAGAATTCTATGCAGGAGCTAGGATTGACCCAGCTTGGTCAGGGGCCCAAATTGTAACTGGTTTCTGATTGCGGATGGAGGGTTATGAAGCTCTCATCCAGCTACACTGTGGTGAAGGGAATGGGATGGTGGTGGTGGTAGCGGTGTGGGAACAGTTCCCCAAATGACAGCTTACTGTTTTCACGGGCATTTTCTTTTTAAACCACCCTTCCAGAGTTCTGTATTTTACCTTGTCTCTGATCACAAGTATTAGGTAGGGATAGTAAGCTAAAAGGATAAGTAGTCCAAGAAAAAGCTCCATCAGCCCCATGTCTGCCCTCTGGAATACCCCACCTTAGATGCAAGATAGACCAATACAAACCAAATTCAGACAGTGAAAGCATGGCATTGATATCTGTTATTATTTTGGACCCTTAGTTTTTGTTTTTGTCACAGTTGTTTACCAGTTTTGCATCAATACTTTTCAATAGACTAGCTAACTTATAAAGGTTGAGTTTATGTGCCATATATATGGATTTAAGGATGCTTAAATTGTTATTTTTATCTGAAACAACATTCACATAGTTTTAAATTTCAGAATATTTTGTTTTGCTTTACAAATTTGTATTTGTGCTCAGTACTCCAATATTTTGCCCATTTGATCATTTGTGATGCTCTTATTTGTCATAATAATCAAAGATTAAGGAATAAAGGTTGAGTAAGAATTAGGGCATATGATGACAAAGGATTTAGCATGCTCCACTAAATCCTTTTCCTCCATATATAGTTTAATAAACAGCAAACCAGGAGATACAGAATAGAAATGGGTCCTGTCCACCAATGCTTCTGAAAAAGAGAAAAAATAGATTCGTAAACTGCTATAAGGAAAACAAGTAGAGGAGCCTGTTGCTGCCTCAGTGCTAACTGACTTTCTTTCAGAGGTGATCCATCCCTAGAGAAATACAGGCCTCATCCTTGCCAATTACTTTCCCTCACCTTCAGTGGGTTATGGAAAGGCCCTTAACCTGTTCCACCATGACCTCCAGTAGGTTAAAAGCTTGGCCATTTGCTCTTTCAAAGTTATACATGAACTTTAGCTAACTACATGGCTTTGGGCTGTGGTTTTGTAAAATTTTAAGGAACTTCCTTTGTGAAACTTACCTGTCTTACCACCTTACAAAATTCCAAATCTTTTTTTTAAAATTTCTTTTAATTTTTTATTTTTTGAGACAGAGTCTCGCTCTGTTGCCTAAGCTGGAGTGCTGTGGTGTGATGGCTCACTGAAGCCTCTGCCTTCCAGGTTCAAGCCATTCTTGTGCCTCAGCCTCCCAAGTAGCTGGGACTACAGTCATGTGCCACCACACCTGGCTAGTTTTTTTGTATTTTTGGTAGAGACAGGGTTTCACCATGTTAGCCAGGCTGTTCTAGAACTCCTGGCCTCAAGTGGTCTGCCCACCTCAGCCTCCCAAATGCTGGAATTACAGGTGTGAACCACCGCACCCAGCCAGACTTCCAGGTCTTTTCCTATTACTTACTGATGAGTGTTTAATATTATAAATAGCTGAAACCTGAAGAAGTCCAATCCTAATAATGGGGGTTGTGCATTTCTTTAAATGCACTGATTTCTTTAAAAAACCAAGTCTAATAGGTTTTGGTTGCTTCTGTACTTGCTTTTATCTTTTCTTTAGTAATAATAATTACCATGTTATAATGAGAGCCTGCTTAGTAAAAGTCTTGCCATTGTTGTAGACATGTTATATATTTCTAAATTATTTTAAAATTATACCCAATATTTAGCACCTTAGTTTATACCTTGAATGCAATGAAAGCAAATACATAAAAATATAAATGAAGAGTAACTGTCAACCCCTAGAAATTCCTTATTATTCACAGTCTTCTAAAAAAGCATGTTTTGGATTACAACCTAACTGTCAGAATGCAATTTGTCAGCACAGAACGAGCTTACCAGGATAAAAAGAACAAACGAATCATTTTTTAAAAAAACGAAGTTCCCAATTTCCCATTTACACAGAGGAATCCAGAAGTTGCCTTGGTAACCAGAAAACATTTGCAAAACAAAGTCTGAATAAGTGGGACACAAAGTGGAGTGCTCTTTCCTTTCATGTTCTTTACCCATAGCCAGCGTTTTAAGGAAAAGTTATTAAGAGTGGCTTCAGCGTCTTCTTATTTATTCAGAACTCTTAAGTAATTTCAGCAATCTTACCAGTGTTTTGAATAAAACCTGATTATGTCCCTAGGATAAATTTTTTTTAAGTTGAATTGCTGGGCCAACGAGAATAAATATTATAAAAGCTGAACTGTGTGTGACCCAGCATCCGGTCCACCAGTAGCGAGTATAACTTGATACTTTTTTGTCTTATAGCTGAAATATTTCTATCAAGTCATCAAATCTAATTGAAGAAAGCAGTCTGCATTCGGTGATCAGGCCATGCATAGTGCCATAGATAGGACCATTTGCCTCTACCTTGAAGGCATAGTCCTACCCATGGTCTAGGGCACTCTGTGTCCAAGTATGGTTCTAGGAAAACCTGCAGTAGAATACCCTGTGGTAGTTAAATGATGCAGTTTCTTGGATTACATTTCTGGTTGATGATTCAGAATCTCTTCCATGTGGAGCCCAGGAATATGTATTTTAGCATTTTAAATGTACTTAGGCTAGATTTGGGAGCAGTCTGGGCTTTACCCTTAAGAAAGCTGGTTGAAACCCACTCCCAGAGAAAAAAAAAAACAACAAGCAGGTCTATATTCTGCATCCTTGTTGACACAACAACATTTGAAAATTCTGCCAGTTTGGTAGACAAAAAAAGAAATCTTGTTTTAATTTGCATTTTGATTACCAAATTCTTTTATATCTTTATTGGCCATTTGCATTTTCTGTTTTTGTTCATGTCTTCTATTTGTTTCTCTCTTGAAGTGTTAGGGTAGGTCTGATTGATTTGTTGACCCCATGAGGGCTGGAACTTTGTCCTGTTCAGCAGTTTGTTGTACTGTGTACTGCAGCTGTAGGAAGTGAATACTGTGTCCGAGGGGTCTAGCATATAATTTCTTATATAGGCATTACCTGGTGTAGTTATTGACCTGGATGGATTCTGGAGCAATAATATGCTATATCTGGTATAAAACATTTGCTGTGAAACTGCTTGCAGGGGACCTTTGGTGAGAAAGGAACACTCAGTGCCGACGTTGGGAAAGTCCGGGGTCCCCTGGGTGGGCAGCTTTCTTGCTTTCCGCCTGGCTTCCTTTCCCATGTGAACTGTCAGGTGACTTCCTCCAGTCAGTGTTGGTTCCACTCTGTTGTTTCTTCACCATCTCGCCCAATCCCCACCAGGTAGTGCTGAAGAGCATGAACTTTGGAGACCTTCTTTTCTACCCCTGGCTCCACCCTTTGCCAAGTGTGTGTCCTTGGGCAAGTCACTTAACTGGTCTGAACTCTGCTTTCTAACCTGTAAAATGGGCATAATTATACCCACCTTCTAGGGATATAGAAACAATTGAATTAAATAACATTTGGACAGGCCCTGGAGTTCTTAGCTGGCAACTATTTAAAGACAAGACTTTTGTCTTGTTCATCTCTATTCTCTCAGCACCTGGCAACTAGTAGGTCATCAATTATTGATTAATTGTTTTGTGGAATTCATGAGAGACGAAGATCTGGTGATTTCAGGCAATAAGACCTCCAATCTCAGGCCCAGAACTGAAAGTGATTTTATGGTACACTGTGCCTATTGGTGAGTACTGAGAACATCACAGATGACTTCAACATTTTGTGTGTGTGTGTGTGATACTTCAAATCTTTTGAAAGAGGTTACTTTCCAAATAATTAGCCTATCAACAAAGTTTCTAGGATTAATAAATAATTTCCCCAAGAGTGATTAGAAGTCTTTATGCCTAAGTCTTTGCTTGAAATAAAAGACATACAGACACTCCCCAACTTACAATTTTTCAGCCTTACAATGGTGTGAAATTGATATGCATGCAGTAGAAACTGTACTTCAAGTTCTCACACAATGATTCTGTTTTTCACTTTCAGTACAGTCTTCAATAAATTATATGAAATATTCAACACTTTATTATAAAACAGGGTTTGTGCTAGGTGATTTTGCCCCACTGTAGGCTAATAGAAGTGTTCTGCGCACGTTGAAGGTAGGCCAGGCTAAGGTATGATGTTCAGTAGGTTAGGTATATTAAATGCATTTTCAACTTATGGTATTTTCCATTTACGATGGATTTGTTGGGACATAACCCCGCGTCATAAATCGTGGAGCATCTGTGCTAGATTTATCTGAGTTGTGCTGATGTGCTTTGTAAGCTCTCAGGCTTTGCACATTAGCTAACTTTTGGAGTAAGTTGTATGAC